GCAGAAGCCGAAAACCTCAAGCGCTCCTTTCCAGGGGAAGGCGGCTTCCTTGCCAATCCCAGTTTTGAACCCTCAGTCCAGGGGGAAAGAGCCTCTCTCCTCAAGGGGCCACCGAGCCCCTCTCCCCCCAGCCCCACCCCAAGGGACAGCTGTCGCTCCAGCCAGCGTCGCACTCCGCCATGGCTGTGAAGAAAGGGGGGGCGGCCTGACAAGAGGGGCCACTCCCCATCCATTCCAGGCCCCCTTGGGCTGAGAGGGGGGCACGCTCTCTCCCTCTCCTCAGACCCCTTCCTGGAGACCCTCCAAAGGATCCCTTCCCAGAAGGATCACCGCAACGGCATCATACGACCATCATCGGAACCAGCAAGGGCAGGCAAAAGATTCCCCCCTCCCCGCCTCCCCGCCTCCCCGGAAAAAAGAGAGAAGGCACGCAGGGAATCGGGCGAGAGCGTTATGCAAACAAATCACTTTTCCACTAGAGGAAGCATTGCTGCCTCTGGGGCTGAGGAAACAGGTTTCAAGAACGTGCGGCCTGGGAGCTCAGCTTCCTGGAAAGCAATTCTGCCTCTAATTAAAGATTGATGACGAAGCCACTCCAGAGCCTTCTCGCCCCACCTCGCGGCTCTGACCCCAAACACCCTGGTGCTCGCAAACAGGCAGGCAGAGGGAGTGCATTAGGAGCACTTAGAGCTTCGCAGCGCGATGCTCCACCGCCACCGCCGCGCCACGCTGCTGCCAGCATCGGATGGGAGGCCCCGCATTCAGCTCCCTCGCAAGCAACCCAGGCAACCGCCTGCGATCCTTGGAACGGCCTTAGCTCAGACGAAGAGGCTACCTACGTTGACCGCCTCGGGGCCTGCCTGGCTCCTCCTCATTCAACTTTCCGGGCTCCAAAGGCTCCCCGCTGAGGCTGCCCCTCCTGGTCCAGCGCAGGCAAAGGAGACGGCCGACCAGCAACCGGCATCGGGCCCCGGCTAGCGGGGCCTGGAAGGAAAGGAGCCACACCGGCCGCCCCTGCGCCACTGCGGAGGAAGGCGTCCCACCCACCTGCTCCAGGGCAGCAGAGCCAAGGCAGGCCCCTCTCCGCCCCTCCGCCCAAACAGGTGCCCCGCGCTCCCCATGCCTCCCTCTCCCGCCCTCACGGGCCAGCTGGCGGCTTCTTGGTGTTGCTCTGGCTCCCTTCCCGCCTGGCTCTCCTCCCTTTCCAGGGGACCCCAATATCCTTTGGGGCTGACAAACGTCATCGAGCCTCTGCCTCCTGCCGGCGGGTTGCTCTTCCCACCCTTGGGAGCAGACAAGACCATCAGCTTCCCACTGGGGCGGAGGGGGGGGCCCTGGCGCTGGTGACGGCCCCCTCCTTCCCGGCCCTCCCATGATGTGCCTGCTTGGGTGGAAGGCTCCATGGGGCAGCTCGTGGGGGAGGGGGCTGCCTCCCCACCATGGCCCCTGCAGCCAAGGCCGCCTCTCACCCTGTCTCTGAACCCCCCACACACACACACACACACACAGAGACTCTCTCCGCTGCGTCTCCCCAGCCTTCCCGTTGCAGGCTGCGTCCTCCCCTCGTCAGAGGCTTTTCATCGGTTATTCTGCCCAGTGTCAGAGACAATAACCAAGATGATGACTCAGATCAAGCCTAACATTTGCCGCCAGACCAGGAAATGGGAAGCCTGGAGGGAAGGGTGTACGTGCAGACTCACTTACAAGGGCCAGCCCCCCCGCTTCCGACCCCTACCCTGGAGGGGACCCTTTGCCAACTCTGGGACGGAGCCTCCCATCCGCAGGGCAGGTGGAAAAGCCCCCGCTTGGTTCCTGGACGGCCCCGGTTCCATTCTTAGCCCCACTGCCAGTTGGGTAGAGGCGGAAGGGAAAGGTCCCGCTGCGTGAGATAGAGCTGCCAGGATGAGTCCCCTTGCACCAAAGCGTTCCCACCACCCAGCAGCCCCTGGGGTGAGGAAGGAGGGAGGCCCTGATGAAGGCAGGCTGGCAGAGGGGGGGGGAGTCAGGGGGTACCTTTCCCCCCAATGGGTCGGATCTTCCCCCCAGCCATGACAGCCGCCTGCCCAGGCTGTGCCTGAGAAAGTAACACATGGGCAAGGAAGGGGCATCAACGAGGCAGAACTCACTTGGGGGGGGGGAACACTGGCAAAGTGGAGAAAGGTGGCGGGACTCAGTGGCCCAGGAGGGTGTCCCGTGTGTCCGCGTCCGTCTCACAAGATCCCCGGAGCCTCGGGAGCATCAGTTTGCCTCCATGGGGGGGGGGCAGGGGCCCTCGGAGGCTTCGGAGCAGCGGCTGCCGTCCGAGGGAGGGCCGGGAGGTGGCTGGCCCCTACCTGCCTCTCTCTTATGCCACGGCCGAAACAACCAGGCGGCCACCCGACACCCAGCCGCCGTCCTGGCTCACGTCAGCTGCCCCAGTGCCCCCACCATCCTCCCCACCGCCCCGCTTTCAGGAGAACTCGGGGACATCCCAACAGACGCTCCCCATGCCCCGTTCCTCCACGCTTCGCAGGCCAAAGGGCCCCGTGGGCGGTTCCCTGCTGTGGCGTCTATTTCTAAAGGCCATAAAGTGCCCACCCTTCTCATGCCAGATCTGGAAGCCGACGGCCGTCATTTTCCTGAAATGGGCAGGGGCTGAACGACTGTCTCCCCCCCCCATGCCAAGGCTCCTTCTCCTGGGGCGATGAGGCTTTTGGGGCGCCCACTGCAGGAAGCCCATCCACCCAGTGCAACAGAGCAACCATTCCCAAAGCCACTGCCCTGGGGAGTGCCCCCAATCGGAGGGGGGGCTCAGGCTGCTCCAAACAGCACGGGCTATGTTGGGGGGGCCACTCACCCCAGCAGAAGACCCCAACCGAGAGGGTGCTCTACCCGCTTCCTTCAAGGCAGGGGCTGCCGGGCC